ATATATAATTCTTTAGATTGTTGCATCTTGTTCAAACTGATTAGAGAGCAATTATGTATATTTTTCCCCTTTTTAAAACATGTGGCATCATTTTTATCAATAAAACACGGGAGAGTGAACATCAAAACACTCAGCTGTCACAGGAAACGCCCCACAGTCACCATATTCTGACCTCACAACTCTGACCCCTCCTGTTGTTTAATTAGATGAAATGATTTTATTATAATTCATCACTACAGCTGTTCTCAAATCACTTCCTGTACGTGTTTAGACGGATTTACGTCTGTCTACTTCTACTATTATACTTCCTTCAATTAATTTAATTCCCCCTCACCTGCTGGCCATGGTCTGCCTGCAGTGCTGCCTGAAGGGCATCAGGTGGTAGTTCATGGCATCCAGGAGCAGCTTCTGGCACACAGGGTCACTCCTCATGAAGTCGACAGACTGCACCCTCTCCACCAGCTCAGGAGCAGGTATGAGAGCAAAGCGTAGCCTCTTCATCAGGTCCGGTGCATAGTGCATGCGAGTCTCCCGGTCATGCTCCAGCCAGAGGACTGACATCTGGAAGAGAGCCAGCTCTGACTCCACCGGGGGTGGTAGAGCATCCAGCATGGCGCACATCTCCTCAAAGTTCAGCAGCAGCACATCCTCCACCAGGTACTTGTTGGCCAGCTTCTTGGTCTCATCCAGTCCGTGCAGTGCAGCGATCTTGCAGATCTGCTTGTAGTTCTGCACAGAGATCTGGTCGTTGAGAAACTGCACGCTCAGCTTGGTTATCTGGGGGATGTTCAGGATCTTGCTGACTGAAAGCACCTCTTCCACTGTGTCCAGGGAGAGAGTAACATTGGCAGTGTACAGGTACTCCAGCACTAATCGCAGTCCAATAGAGGAGCAGCCCTGGAGCACCAGGTTGTTGATGGGCCTGGTGCTGGGGGTCACCAGCTTGTCATCGGGAGAGGATGAGGGGGTCCCACTGCTGCCCTGGTCCCCCTTGCTTCCCTCGTTGTTGATGGCATTATGGGAGGAGAAGAGAGATCTGAAATACTGAGAGCAGGATGCCAGCACAGCTTTGTGGCAGTGGAACTGCTGTCCCTGGGCAGTGAGCGTCACATCACAGAACAGCTGCTTTCTCCATAACAGGTTGAGCCCATGCAGCAAGGTGTCACTGTGCGTTGGGTCAAAGGTGGATGTTCTATCACCCGATCTGGACATGACTTCCTGACTGCGAACGCCACCTAGGCAACAGATAAACCACCATGTGAGCCATTCAGGACTGGTTTCTCAGTAAGTTATAGAACAGATCGCCCGTCCATCCGGCAGCAGCTTCCAACTTTGATGAGCTCCGGTCGTAAAACAGTCAACAAGAACGCTGTAGTTCCTTGTCGCACGTATTCATTCTCAACTCGATAAGGTTTTAAAACAAAACTAAACCAAAAAAATGAGGAGGCTGAGGTCTGAAGGGCGCTGCCGACACGGATCCGGAGACGCTGCGGCGCTGCGCTCTCGCCTGACGCGGCTCAAGTTGTCTCTTACGCGGGGAGGAGGAACGAGGAGACGGTGGACAGACAGCATGCAGCATCCAGCAAACACCTGTCCTCTCTCCACCTGTCCTCCTGAGGACATTACACACATTTACGGAGTCATACAAAAGCAATTACTGTAGTTCGTCTCCGAGTCGTCAGTGCGCGTAAAACAGACGCGAGTGGCGAAATAATATCCACTAAAACACAGCTTTCGGGAAAAAGTTAAATACAAAACACGTGCGGATTTTGTTTTTTAGGCTTTAAAAATAAGCTATTTGCGGGTTTCAACTTGGCATAAACGGTGAAACGTCTCCTAGATTCTCCAAAAGCAAACGCGCCTCCTGGCACAACGAAACGACGCGAGCAGCTTCTGGCTCTGAGGAGCCAAACTTACCTGACTTCAGCTCTTCACACACACAAAACAGAAAAGAAAGTAAGCTCCAGACGGGGGTCCCAATATCTCCTGGATATTCCTTTGTTCTTCTTTTTAAAAAGATTTGTTTGAATTCCCTTGGTGGCGTCTCCAAAGAACCATTGATCCCCAACTCTTAAAAGTCACTATTTCGGGTTATTTGTTGACGTCGGATCATTTGTTCTTCTGAATTAACAAGAAGTGTGTGAGTGTGTGAGAGGGAGCTGTGCTTTCTGCAAGAGAAGAAGAAGAAATATACGTGTGACAAATTATGCTACCAAGAAACAACACATCATTATCCTTGGGCCTGGGGCTCAGTGAGTCGTAACGAGAGTAATAGGAAATCCACGGTTGGGGAGAGAAACGGTCGTGCATGGCCGGTGGAGAGAGACCATGCAGGGGTATGGATGCTGGAGAGACTCGCAAAATTATGGCTCAAGGCTATTGTAAAAACTGTCGAGCGTAAATGACTGCGATTTCAAACATCTTTGGAAGAAAGAGAAAGAGAAAGGGGGAGAAGAAGAAGAAGAATAAAAAAAAGCAGAGTCTTTCCCCTCGCTGTTATAGAGAGAACCGTCAAGTTTTAGTGCGCATTGCTAATTAGTCAATTTCTCTCTGCCTTCACAGCCCGACGACTTTGCTGCTGAGCTGAAACTGCTAATTTCTGGGACCAGCCTTTTTTTGGCTGTGAACTGGATGGATGAATGGCTTGTCTCGCACAAATGACAAAAAGCCCCTGCCTTAATCTCCATCGCCAAAATAACACCCCCCCCCCCCACCACCACCACCCCCATCTCAGTCTGCTCCCACTAGTCCTTCAAACAGAAGGTGTTTTGCACAAACTCAACTTTTGCATCTGAATCATGAGCGATAAACACGAGCGAGACATTTTCATCAAGTGGAATTAAAAGCGTTGAATTTGTATTTTCATTATGTGGCAAAAGGCGTTTCATACACAAATCTTCAAAGGATGTCAAAAGTTGGAGGAAAAAGAAACAAGTTGGGGGGGTGGGGGGCGGGGGTGTCATGTGTTGTTGTTAACCTGGAAGTCAGCATGGGCCTTGAAAATACAAAGGGTTAGATAATGTATCCAGAGCTCATTAGTGAACAGGTTGTGTTCACAGAATGCACGTTTTCACCCACACACATACATCCAAGTGTGTGTTGAGGAAAAACTCCCCTCCAAAAATTTAGCCTATCTTAAACTTTCTAGTTATTTTTGTGTTGGCTAGGGTTGAAATCTTTGCTGCAGCGGCCACCTTTCATTGGGTTGACTCCAAAAGTTCATCAGTTGTAGAGGCACACCCAGTGATTACTTTCTGAAAGTTTCACTTAAATCCACCCTGTGCTTCAAGAGAAATTATGCTAACAGACAAGTAAACTGCACTAGTTTATGCCAAAACTTTAAAAACAGATCTTGGGCCATCAGTTAGAGTTCAGTATATGTGTTGTGGATTATTCTCAGCTACTACCACACAAACAATCATCAACATCAGCGAGGACCCAAACCAGTACGCATAGAATCAATCTACAGAGGTCGACATCTCCTCTGTGGTCCACACTGCTCTCACCCACCTGGAGCAGAAGGACTCCTACGTCCATATGCTCTTTGTGGACTTCACATCCGCCTTCAATACCCTGAGAGACAAACTACTCACATTAGGACTAAGCCCCTCCATCTGCAACTTGGTCCTAGACTTTTTAACAAACAGATCACAGTCAGTGAGGATCCACAACTTCTCCTCCTCCATCATAACCCTCAGCACTGGCTCCCCTCAGGGCTGTGTGTTGAGCCCCCTCCTGTTTACTCTGCTCACATATGATTGTGCAGCTACCCATCCAGGCTGTCACATTGTAAAGTTTGCAGATGATACAGCGGTGTGGGATGCATCGCAAACAAGGATGAGTCCAGCTACAGGCAGGAGGTGGAACACCTGGAGAGCTGGTGCAGGAAGAATAACATCCACATCAGTGTGAAGAAGACAAAGGAGATGGTCATGGACTTCAGAAGAAACAAACATCCCCCCCCCCCCGAACATAGGAGGATCTGCGGTGGAAGTGGTCTCCAGCTACAAGTACTTGGGTGTACACATGAATGACAACCTCAGCTGGGGCAACAACACCACCAGCCTGATCAAGAAAGCTCATCACAGACTCTACTTCCTCAGGCGGATGAGACGAGCTGGTCTGGGAAGCTCAGTCCTCACCTCCTTCTACAGGTGTGCAGTGGAGAGCATCCTGTGCTCCAGCATCAACGTGTGGCATGGAGGCTGCACAGCTGCAGAAAGAAAAGCGTTGCAGAGAGTGGTGAAGGCTGCACAGAAGACTGTTGGAGTCAGTCTCCCCACCATCACAGACATCTACACCTCCAGATGCAGGAAGAGGGCCACATGCGTCATGAAGGACCCCACTCACCCAGCACACACACTTTTTGCCCCGCTTCCCTCAGGCAGGAGGTTGAGGAGCATTAAGTGTAGAACAACTAGACTGAGGAACAGCTTCTACCCTGAGGCTGTTCATGAATGGATCAGAATTATCACTGTGAAAAAAATCCCTGTAATACCATTTGATTGGTGATATGTGCTGCTGATTATCCAAGTTGCTGAACTTATGCTGCTGATCTGTTTCATGTTGCTGTGTTCATTAGTGCTCATCTGCTCACAGACTCATGGTTGTGCTGCTGTTCGGTGTATTGTTTTTATTTTTTACTACTAGTGCTTAGTGTATTTTTAGTTAACATTTTTCTTAGTTCATATTTTAGATCTTATTACCATTTTTCTTTTACATTTTATTGTTGGATGTAACTGGGAGCCTGTGTACATAATTTCATTCCACCACATGTACCATATGTGGTGGAATGACAAATAAAGAAACTCTGACTCTGACTTTGACTATATTAAAGCTTATTTGGCTGAGTTAAAGCCATTTTTGTGTTAGCTAAGTTTGGTGGCCATCTTGGATGGGGTTGACTCCAAGATACCAAAGTTCATGCTCAATAATTCAGCAATGTTCAGTCAGGTCATCTGGACGGTTTCTTTTCTTGTTCTTTTTTTGTTTGTTTTTTTGCTGAGACATTTCATCCTTCATCTAAAGGACTTCTTCAATCTGAGGAGCCACCAAACGAACTGAGCCCCACAACCAACACCCTCTCACAGTGGGAAAAAAAACAGTTTGCTGGTGATAACATGGCCTCCGGGGTCCGCCCTCTCCCCCATCAATTCCTCTAAGTCAGCCATGCCAAAGTGGTTCAAAACGCCAAAGTCCATGCTCATTAATCCAGGTAAAAATCCAACAATGTTCAGTCAGGTCATTTGGGCGGTTTCTTTTTTTTTCTTGCTTAGACATTTTTTTCCTTGGTTTCAGATGTTTGTTTTTTTTTCCACTATGGGAGTGTGCTGTTTGTGGCACTAAGTTTGTTTGGTGGCTCCTTGAATTGAAGAAGTCCTTTGGATGAAGGACAAAATGTCTCAGAAAAAAAAAAAAAAGAAACCGTCCAGATGACCTGACTGAACACTGTTGACTCCAATAGGTAATCAGTTTTAGACATTAATTACTTTCTGAGGGCTTCTTTAAAAATCTGTCCACTGATTTATGAGATATTTTGCAAATGCTACAGTCAAACAAACACACAGTCAAAACGACTGTCGCCTTCAGCAGCGGACGATAAAATAAACAATACTCAAACCATGAGTCCTGTCTGTCACTGACTGGGTTATATTTCAAGAAGCCAAAAGAAGCATCCATCATTTTAAAGCCTTGATCTCTAAAAGCTATGAAATCCTAAAACATAAACGAGTAGGACTTCTTGTTTAAACTCGTTTACAGGAAAAAAAAACAGGAGTTACTTATTAGGACAGTAAACTGTCAATTAAACCTAGAGCTCAATTAGAGTAAATAAACTTACATGCAGGACTCCCGTGGGAGCAGAAGTGACAGTTGCCTCACAAGTTGTGAAAATGACAAGATAGGGATAAATGGCTTTGTTCATGTGCTATGAAAAACCGCAACTCCGTGTTACCGTCAAGCAGTAACAGGCCACATGTAAAGGTAGTTTTTATAATAAATGAAACCATAGCATTGCTTGATGTTTGACAGACCCAGCATCACCCCCCTAGTTTCCTTCTAGTTGAACTCTGGGTGATGACTGATTAGATTGTGCTCTGCATCTCAAAGAACCATCATCACTGAAGGGAAAACTGTAGCATTGTGATATTAATTAGAGCCTTAAAGCCACAATGGAATCAGTTTGCGTTGTGTTTCGCCACTTTCAGAGGTCTTGTCACGACAGAATTACAGTA